AGGCGCCTTCATGAGACGTGACTCTAGTCGGAACATTTCTGCCTGATCAAGTACGGTTTATGACTTCTTTACTTATTGGCCAGCACGCGAAAGTAACTTGTTTGATGCCATCAGTGAAGACGGGAAATGACATTAAGATCTTAATAACCAAAGAGGGACCCTGGAAAGCATTCTGCTCATTTATTTTCCTCAACTTTTATCGGAGGTATTCTAATAGTAAGTTCTCTATATAAAAACGAGCAAGTACCGTTCAAAGGAACTTCTTCTGTTTTGATTCAATATTCTTCTAAAGTAATTATCAGTCAGTATATTTGGAGTAAACGACAGAACCCCTGAAAACTCCATTTAAAAGGTACAGGTGTGAGGGAAAATAGTTAAATTGCAAAAATTTTGCATGCAGTTTACTGTGCAGAATGCATAAGCCTGATACTGGAACATTGTTGACATTTGCATTTCCCTTTTTTGGTCAGTGTTTTTTGTTACTCGCGTATTTTTAGGCCAATTTCTATCGTATATTTAACGCCTCATAAGACGTTACGTTGTCTGAACTCATAGCAATGCAGTGCACTGCAATTCAGTAGGTGCACTTTTGTGAAATCGTGGACGTTACAGTTTAAATGCGATGAGAAACAGAACACCTTTGGATTGCATTGCCTATACTCGATCCGACAACATCGGTTGGTTAGCTGAGATTTTTCACAGAGAAGCTTCACCTCCAGCGGTTAAGTCTGTCTGTGGGAAGCGGCCCTTGTTTGATCCAGTCTTCTTTGCCTTGCCTATTCATATGCTTGGAAAACTACCATCCTTACTAGGAACAAGATCATGGTTACCTGTGTTCCTCTCGATGCCTTCACTCGGCTAGAGAACCAGAAGACCATAAACGACTCGCTTTGTTGACGACGCCTTTGTCACTATCGGGTGAGATGAGATTTAGTATTTCAAAGCCAAAAACGAACTCGACCGCTCTCGATATACACTTTACCATTGGCTAATAGGTGCAACCATGGTAGGGGGCGCTCACCGATCGTTCATACGGAACTCACTCGTTCCGTTGTGCCTTACGGGCTCTCTCTTGAGCCCAACCAGAAGCCGCACAGCGGCGCATGATATATAGGCAGAATGGTATTACCGACAAAGACAAGGGAGACTGGAATGATCATTTCTGGCTTATTAGCCGTCGTCAGCCAGCCATACCCAAGCCCGAAGTGTGGAACACCCGAGCCTCGAACTCGCGACCTGTTGGTTTAGAAGTCCACGCCTCTACCCGCCGGGCCACGAGCCCGTTGCCTTGTCGGTTTTCGATCGGGAATATACAATGGTAGGGGCGCTCACCGATCGTTCATACGGAACTCACTCGTTCCGTTGTGCCTTAAGGGCCTTAAGGTGCTTTAAGGTGTCCCCTTGTCTTTGTCGGTAATACCATTCAGCCTATAGGTGCAACCATCACTGCCCTTAGGTACTCTTGCCAGTCGTCAGTGGAACAGTCAACTGACAAGAACAGTCATTGAGCCTAGATGCGACGGTCGAACTGTCATATCGCACGCTTTGACAGGAACCACTTGCGACGAAAAAGGGACCTGCACCGACGAGTAGGCACCCACGCGGCAGGCGGACTGCTAGGGAACCCAATTTAATCATCTCGTGGAGCTGCTTAGAGTTGGCGAGTGCGTGCGAACGTTCGTTAGGAGAAGCCGGCTACCAAAACAGGCTAGCATGGAGGAAGCCCAAAAGCCCGAATCACGACAACTCGTTCCACTCACTAAAGGCACATCGGAGACAGTTTTTAGACTTTTGGGACCACGAGGGGCTTAAATGATTAACATGCCGAACCTGACACTTTACCACTACGTTATTCGACTGAAGAACCTGACTACCGAACAGGACAATCTATCTGTATTTTACCAGCCATAATTTAGTTCTGGGGAAGACAGTTGTTTTGGAGGAATAGAATTCACGAGCACCAGTTGTCAGTGTGGAGGATGGGCGGAGACCCAGACGGCGTAATGCAAACTGCTCAGCCTAAGCACGAGTTTGACTGGCGCATTGAAGATCCTGTACTGAGGTGGTAACAACACAGTGAAATGAGTGTCTAACGTATGCCTGCAAGACGATGAGTTTATTAACTGGAATACCTATAAACCTCTAGCTTATACGACCTGGCGAACGCACTTTGAAGGCGGACAACCATACCGACGACCAAGCGAGACTCCTATCCATGCAGCGAATCATATTGGTTCCCCAGAGCCTCATGTCGGCAGTCAGCTCACATGAGAGTACTTCTCTCATAATGCTGGTTCGTTGCAGGCCCCGCAATCCCTGTTGCCTAACGGCTGCTTATACCCGAAAGTTCAGCCCTAAACAAAACTATCTTCCTCTTCGGCTACCCATTTTCTCTTCTATTTTTCGAATGGTTTGTAAGCCGAGGCAACGGAATGGGCTAATATTCTATGAAATTATTATCAATAACAATGTCACTGAAGAATTTGCGTGCGTGGACACCATAGATCAGACAAATATTTCACTGACGTTAGGTCGAATTTCTCATCTGATCTGCGTCTTGATGTGATTGCGTTAAGTTGTTTTGTATTATTTCATTGTCTGTTTCTCACTCTCCTCCAAAGGTGTCGTTTCAGATGAATAAAGTGTTGGGACAAAGTTGAACTGCAAGATATTACATTGGACAATCATGACTGAGTCCGCTCATTTGACCGATGGACTTTTTAACGTGAAAAGTGTATGCGAAGTTTCTTTCGCCGACCTCGTAAAACCTACTCGTCTGATTTTCAGCCGAGCCTTTTTCATGCAAGTTCTAGTTTTCTTTTTAATGTTCCTGTACTCATTAGCGACAGTTTTAAGGGCGTACCGCGAGAAAAGGTTCATGAGAATGTTAAAAAAGAACCCTGTTGCGACCAGGATTTTCGGCGCAACGACCCTGTTGTAGGCACCCAACGCTTTACCAAGACCAAATCGACCGCGTACTACAACTCGCTAACATACGCATTGTCGCTAATAAACAATTCCTCCGAAGAAATTTCGTCGACTGATGAGGACAGCGAAGGAAAAGAAGTTGTTCGGTCAAACCAACCTCAAGGTATAATCTCTCGGAACACCCTCCAACAGTGCCCGCTCACAAACTTATCCCCAGAACGCCAACCTGATTTAGACCTTGAGTCCGAAACAGATGAGGAAGATCTATTTCGGCAGATGCAAGCGCTGGGGCTTCCTACTTGCTTTGGACGTCAACAGTAAGACCAACCTTTGTTTTCATTCGTAGGCACCATCGAAAAGCAGCAAGACCTCGGCGAACGGGAAACCCTGTGTACGGTTAGAATTTAATTCTGATTACTTGGCTTGGTAACTTTAGTTAACACAAGATTATTTAGGTCTTTCAGCGGGAAAAGTAAAAATTCCATAATGCTTGTATTTACGTTACTACATATACCTCTGTCGTTTTATCGCTCTGACCAATGTGACTACTTGCCGTCCTCCTCCTCAAAGCTCTGCTAACCCACGTGAAAACTACTGTTCCGCCGTCACCATCGACTGCCTGGTTTTACTTGGAGTCGCTCGCGACCCAGAGCCAAGGAAATGCCCCTTACGGACGCACAGCGCTGAAAATCTCACCGGTAATTTTGTTTTCTTCATGGTCCATTTTAAACTGATGATACAGACCAAATTTCCTCTATTACGAGACACACCGTTATGCGTAAACTTTTATCCTTTCAATTCATATCATTTTTTTGTTTCGAACTCGTTTGTTTTTGAAAATCACATGATTACCGATCTACTATGATAGGCCACGGATGTGTGGCACTCGAAATATCTTCCTCCAGAGTACCTTTTTATGCATCAGAAAAAGAGTTTAGCGTTAATACAATTTTTGCCTTTATACATATTTTTGAAAACATTTTCTCTCCCAAAAGGCCCCAAGTACCACAATCCCCATATTACAGGTGACTTTGCGCCATAGTTCAGGGGGTGGGGGGTCCATTTTTTACAATGTGTCCTTTTTACGCATTTAAACAAAAATGAAACGTAAGTACGAGTTTTCCTTCTTATATATATATATTTATGATAGTGGGCGCTCACCGGTCAGGTTACGGAACATGCTCGTTCCGTTGTGCCTTGTGGCTCATACTAGAACCCTCGCAGGCAGTCGCACAGCGACTAGTAGTAGATATAGATGAGATGGTACCGACAAAGACAAGGGAGACCGGAATGGCCATTTCTGGCTTATTAGCCGTCATCAGCCAGCCATACCCAAGCCCGAAGTGTGGATCAGTGGTAGAGCGTCAAAGTCCATGACCAAAGATCCCGGGTTCGAATCTCAAGTGATCCACACTTGGGGTTGGGTATGACTGGCTGATGACGGCTAATAAGCCAGAAATGGCCATTCCGGTCTCCCTTGTCTTTGTCGGTACCATCTCATATATATATATATATATATATATATATATATATGCGTAAATATTGAAAGGTAGGCATCCCAAGCGATATAAGTTGAAAAGAGGTGGGTTCTTTGGGACAAGAGGGTTTATTGCGTAAATTTTCGACGCTGGTTCCCCAGGTCGTCGTCAGACGCAAGCGGAAAGCAAATGTGAAAGCAAGAAACAGCTAACGTCAAGAGTGCACAAAAATCGATACTTGCATGGCGTGTGCGCCGGTTGGCGGCCGTCGTGTGTCAGTCTGAGCTGGTTGGTTCCCTTCTCTTCCATTTCTCCTTCAGGTTTCTGTACACGGCATCCAACTCGATATGCCGGTTGATGCATGATTCATCAGAGTGCATCGCCTCGAGGAATTCTCGGCCTTTCTTGAAAGGGCAGACCGCGACAACGCGAGCTTTGTTCCAAGCGAAAGTGTGCCCGGTGTCCAGCGTATGCATGGCTACCTGAGGCAGATGGTCTCGCCTCTTTACTGCCAACTGGTGCTCATGGATGCGTGTTGAGGCGGATTTTCCAGTCTGGCCACAATAGACGGCAGTACATGCATCACACGGTATCTTGTAGACGACCTCTTTCTTGTCCAGCTGATTAACCCTATCCTTAGGATGTACCAGCTGAGAGCGCTTTCTCGCTGAAATAACAATGCAGAAACTAGAGGCAACGGCTCTCCCGTTGTGTACTCCTAAATTGTGGCTGCGATATGTGGATGACACATTTGTTATCGTAAAAAAGAACCAACTAGAAGTGCTCCACAGTACTATCAACTCAACAATTGCTGGGATTAAATTCACACTTGAAAAGGAAGTGGACTGCAAACTCCCATTTCTGGATGTTCTCGTGCAGCGTAAGGTCGACGGAACGTTACGCACATCCGTTTACCGGAAAGAAACTTACGCTGAAGTCATTCTTCCTTATAAGAGCAACCAGCCCATTTCTCACAAACGGAGTGCCGTAAACAGTCTGCTTGGTCGAGCAAAAGCACATTGTTCGGATGAAGAAGGCTATCGAGCCGAAGTGAATTACTTGTACGAATTATTTTCGCAGAATGGATACCCTAAGGATTTTGTACGCAGATGCATGAGGCAGCGAGAATCAAGGGAGAAGGAGCCGGGTAGTTCCAATCAGACGCCTGAATTAAGCACTTGGCGAACCCTTCCTTACATTAAGAATGTGTCTGAACTCGTCGAAAGACACTTAAGGAAGCACCAGATTCGAGTGGCGCACAAACCTACGACTACTTTGCGCTCTCAGCTGGTACATCCTAAGGATAGGGTTAATCAGCTGGACAAGAAAGAGGTCGTCTACAAGATACCGTGTGATGCATGTACTGCCGTCTATTGTGGCCAGACTGGAAAATCCGCCTCAACACGCATCCATGAGCACCAGTTGGCAGTAAAGAGGCGAGACCATCTGCCTCAGGTAGCCATGCATACGCTGGACACCGGGCACACTTTCGCTTGGAACAAAGCTCGCGTTGTCGCGGTCTGCCCTTTCAAGAAAGGCCGAGAATTCCTCGAGGCGATGCACTCTGATGAATCATGCATCAACCGGCATAT